ATTCTCACCATAAGAGCAGACATGAGTATGGTATTGGATAACCTAGGGACTGACAAAGCCCGGCACACGCTGGGTAGTGAAGCCATATTCTGAACTTCGTACTACTCCCTCTCCTCCCACCTTGGATGAACCCCAGGAGGGATGTACCAGCAACACTGGGGAGTCCAGGCCCATCCCAGGGCTCATAAGCCACCACCCTATCTTGATGACATGGAGGTGTCCCATCCTTCTGAGCTGTGGTTGGTAAGAAACTGTTACATTGCCACAAACGTTCTTGTTTCTAATCTAACCGTTACATAAGAAGGGATTGAGCCTGGGGACTGTGTTTACCTAGCTAATATATCCTTTGTGATCTTTTGTAACCGTTTACAGGTAGAGGACAGGAAATGCTGCTTAGCAAGCTCAGAAATTCCCAGCGGGACCAAGAGTGGGTATGCTGTGAAATGATGTGATTATTGGGAGGGGTTCATCTTTTCTTTCTAGAAAAACAGCTGACTTGGGACTGTGTTTGTGTGTGTGTGTGTGTGTGTGTGTGTGTGTGTGTGTGTGTGTGTGTGTGTTAATGTGCACATGTTATTTTGGCAGGACTGCATTGCATGACCAGACCCCAGGAAGGGTACCTGGGATGCTGTTCTCACCTTGAGGGTGGGGCATGGAAAGATGTTGAGCTATTACCACCCCAGCAAGTCCCCCCAGAAGGTTACAGCTGAGGGGTGGAGACTCCCCATAGGGAGGTCAGTGTTTCACTGGAAGAGTTTCCCACCACGACCACATCTTCCTAGACCCGTGATTTTGCATGTGGCATTTGTCCTTTCACAAACCCATCCAATCAACATTTAACTATTCTGTGCCTAGCGCTTTGGTTCACAGATAAGAAAACCACTATCCAGAAAGGAGGAGGGACTTCCCAGGCTCACTTCATTTTTTAGGGCAGACCCTGACATTTTTGGAAGCCAGCAGTCAGCACAAGGACCTTTGTGGAGTACTGTGAGAACAGGTGTGGGTCCGAGGACCCACTGGCATGCCTTCCTCTCATCTCCTGTGAAGGGCCTCCTGCCCCTCCCCAAATATATGTCTTTGGGCAAACACTGTCCGGCCTCAGTGTTCCTGTCTGTATATGGAGAGGAGGCAGAGCCTGGCTCAGGGTCATTGTAAAGATAACATGGGGTAGTGCACTTGCTGGGGCTAAGTGGTCACCTGTCCCCCTGCTGGTGCTTAAGATCTCTATTCTCCAGCTCCTCTGGGGGTGGACTTCCTTCCCACCCTCTCAGCTAAGAAAGCCAACTAAAGCACCATGTGGCTCAAGGAGCCACAGCCAGTTCTGCTCTGGCGTCGGCCACTGTGAGGAGGGACTGCTGACAATTTGCTGTCTAGGCCCCGCCACTGACTCCTGACAGCTCCCTCAGGACAGGGCTGTTGCCTGCAGCAGGCAACGCCTTCCCTGAACATGGGCATTGAAAGTTAACGGCCAAACCAGCCCCGGGGGAATGGAGCTCCAGACAGCTGCATGTGGACTGCATGGGGGCCCAGACTGCAGCTGGACTGGCAGCCCAAGTGACCTGGGCCTTGGAGCATTCTCTGGAGACATAAGACAGCAAATGAGAAAGCCCGTAAACTTCTCCCAAGCTATTATTCGGGGAGAAAAATGAGAGTGATCAGAAGCAAGAATTTATTACGTAATCAGAAAACCTTCCCTCCAGGAGCAAGCACTGTCCCAGGCATGATGAACGCCTTGCCCCAGCATTGAAAAGAATGTTCCAGACCAATACTGCCTGTGATGGTTGAAAACACTGTGGTCACACTGGCACAAAACCCTCTCAGCATCCTGCATCCCATTTTACAGTTCTATTTTACAAAGACTCCAAGGTTCAGAGAGGGCAATAACATGTCCAAGGCCATACAGCAGTGAGGTGCTAGAGCACTTATTTGGTTCTATCCTCTGCTCTTCAGCCACAGGATGTGGGGCTGGGGGAACAGTCCTCCTGGGTAGATAGCTTCAGGTTTGAGTCCCCACTTAGCCTGTCACTACTACCTCATCTTGTTAAAGCATTTACTCTGGCAGAGCCATGGATTTCTCCCCTACCAGACTGTCCTCACATGATGGTTTGAGAACAGGTGGTGAGAATTTATGCTGAGAATCTGGTGCAGGATAGGTGACAGTTACAAGGCAAAGGGCCAGAGGGCAGCTGCAATGACTGTTAAGGTTTTTCTGCCTTCTGGATGCTCTAGCCATCCAACATAAGAAAAGGGATAGGGGCTGAAGAGGTTGCTCAGAGATTAAGAGCACTGGCTGCTCTTGCAAAAGACCTGGGTTCGATTCCCAGCACCCACATGGCAGCTAACAACTGTTCATAACTTCAGTTCCAGGGAGTCTGATGCCCTCTTCTGACTGCCGCAGGCACTGTACAACGTGGGTGCGCTTACATACATGCAGGCACTACACTCACACACATAAAAATAAGAATAAATAAAATATTAAAAAAAGAAAATGGATGGATGAAAGTAGGAAAAGCGTGCCAGGCTGGGATCTGGGCACCTCTGAATCCAGGGCTGCTTCTTGACCCCCATGCCTACAACCTTACACCTGCCAGCTGATCAGTGAGCGGGGTACACTTACTGGGCCCCTAAGGGGGTCCTCTGCCTGCCCGCCCTCAGTTTTGAAGAGAGACAGTGCCCAGTGCTGAAGGCAGTTTGAGGGCTGGGCTGGCCCAGACATGCAGCCTACACCAGGCAGGAGCCTCCACCGTGTAGCACGTGAGCATCAAGGGTTCCATCCCCACCCAGCCCTCAGGCCTCTGTGGCTCTGGCTCTCAACTGGTAACAGCAACAGTGACTACCAGTCAAGCAACCTGTGCTCTGCAAACCAGTCATTTACCCTCTTGGCAGCCTCTTGAGGGTGTGCCCTAATCGTGCCCACTTCATTTTTAAACTTTCCGTTATTATTGTGTGTGTGCATGGTGTGTGTGGGTGTGCACACCACAGCACATGTGTGGAGGTCAGAGACAACTTGAAGGGTCTGTTCTTTCTTTCCACCCTTTATGTGGTTTCTGGGGAGTGAAGTCAGTTCTCCAGGCTTGCATGTCAAACACATTTACTCACTGGACCATCTTGCTATAATTGTGCCCTTCTTAAAGACAGGAACATGAAGTAAGTCATGGGATCTGTCAAAAGCTGGCCTGGGTATTGGCACATATCTGGCCCCCAGCAATGGTTCTAGCCTATGGTCACCTCTCCCTGATCTCCTGGGATTGGGGGGGGGACTTTGGGGGTGAAAATGGGAATCTATGTCTTAAGCTCTTACAGTCAGCCCTGGGTCTTCCTGCTTGGGATGGGGGCTCAGGGTAGGGTCACTCGAGTATATTCCAGGTCAGCTTGGTGCCTGGTACTTACATAGTAATTTCTGCTGTCCCCATTGTACAAACCCAGCAGGGCTCAGAGGTGATATCACCCAGAATCATACAACCACCAAACAGCAGAGCCAGACATGGTTGCTTAGTCGCTGTAGCAACCTCATGCTGTAGGTACCATTTTACCTCCATTTTATAGATGAAGAAATTGAGGCTTAGAGAGTGCTACACAGAGAAGCTGGGCTTAACCCAAGTCAATAATGTTTACATGCCCCCCCCATATAATTATTCAAATCCTAACAACATGGAGGACGCTTGGACGTCTTGGGGTTGTATGGTAGTGGCAAAAGTCCTTTCCTTTCTCTGGGCCTCAGTTTCCTCACCTGAGTAGGGGGCTCAGCAGAGCAGTCTCCTGGCCTGAGGGCAGTGAGGAGCCCAGAAACTGCCTTGCACGTGGGCCTTGCACACTGCAGCCCCTCCACAAACAGCTGTTCAAATCCTTGGCCTTACTTGGACCTAAAAGGCAGTCTTCCTCTAATTGGGAGCTGCTCATGGACCTAAAAAGCATTGCTCATGCTGCAGTGAACCCCGGGGTCCAAACACGGTGTTCCTCAACCAACATGGTGCTGTGTGGCCCTTGGTCAAGTGGGCACAGTGGCTGTGTGGCCCTTTGTCAAGCTCCTTCTCCTGGGGCCTCAGTATCCCATCTATGAAGAAGGGGTTTTGCTGGGTGAGTCCCTAATGACTTTTCCATTTGATTCTGTTTCGAGGAATATTCTATTTTGGCTTCACTCTCCATATAGTTGACCTGAGGACCAAGAGGACTAAAAGAAACCCCAGGACCATCTGATTCAACAGCATCATTTATATGAGAAGGAAAGAAGGCCCAGAGAGGCAGGCAAAAGACTTGCTGAAAGTCATGACCAGGCTAAGAACTGGTAAGTTCTGACAACCTGCCAACATTCATGGAAAATGGAAGCCAATCTCCCTAGAAGGTTTTGGGGAACATTTCCTAGAGCCCCTACAGAGACCAATGGATCAGAAACAACAGCTGCTGCTGTCACCAGCCTTCTCACAGTCTCTAACCCAGGAGGGGACTCTCTTAGAGGGGACAAGAAAGTGCAGATATTTAGCGGCTCTTTTGTGCTGACCAGACCCCTTAAAGAGAATCACCCTGAAATCAAGACCTTCTGGAAACTTCTGCAAAAAATCACAGAGCAGAAGGGACAGTTTCAGAAATCCCAAACAGCACATAAACACTTTAAGCAATGCTAGATAGATGGATGGATGGATAGATATAGATAGATGGATGGATGGATAGAAAGAGATAGATAGGTGGATAGAGATGATGATGATGATGATGATTGATAGATAGATAGATAGATCGATGATAGATGAGCAGATAGGCAGATAGATAGATAGATAGACAGATAGGCACATAGATAGATAGATAGATGATAGATAGATAGATCGATAGATGGGCAAATAGGCAGATAGATAGATAGATGATAGATAGATAGATAGGCAGATAGGCAGATAGATGATAGATAGATAGATCGATCGATAGATGGGCAGATAGATGATAGATAGATAGATAGATAGATAGATAGATAGATAGATAGATGGATAATAGATCACAGTGGGATTCCTTACCTGTATTCCTGAGGAGCATGGTGGCAGCTTTGCCCTGAGCTTCGCATCATTCCTGACATTTTGGGCTCTGTGTCACCTTCTATCATCTCCTTGGAGGAAAGACAAGCAAAAAACAAAGCTGCCATCAGCACCCGTGTACAGAAGGCGAAGACCTGCACTTTCCCACAATTCAGAAACAACTGACAGAAGGGAGAAGTCCTATCAAACCAGGTCACAATCCCAGGGCAATCCTTCAGGGTTTTAGGGCTAAATGAAGAGGATGAATGAAATTCCAGGTTCTTTGGAATTCATGGGGGAGGGGCAGCGGAAGATGGAAATGTCAAGCTCTGGAAGACCCGCTCTTGCAAAATAGAAATCAGAACTCCGTTTCCGTTCAAGTCCTATTCCCCACCTCCATTCAGCCATGATCACTTTGAAAATAAAGAGATCACCAGAAAAAGGGGAACTCAAAGGGTCATGGAGATTTCCATTGGGGGAGCCAAATTCCCAGTCTCACAGAGAGCATTCTCAAGAACTCCCTGGAAGGGAACGCCGCACCTGCGGGTGCTGGAAAATCAGCCCACGCAACACTGCACCCACTTCCCACCTCCAGACTCGGCCTTAAAGTAAAAAAGTCTAGGAGCGCCCCAAATTTGCTCAAAGTCAAGCCTGAGCGGAACACGGAAAGCCACCAGCCTGGTCGGCTCCTCCCGCAGTCACTGAGGGTCCCCAAGGGGGCGCGGTCCGGCTGCACAGCGGTACCTGGAGCGGGTCCTTGGGGGCCGCTGTGCTCAGGGGCGGCTAGGCACGGGGACTCCCTCGCGCTCGCCCCTCGCCGTCTGCAATTTGGCCGCCCTCGCAGCTCAAACCGTTTTTAAATTTCCCTCTCTGGAGCTGTCCAGCTCCGAGCATGCGCAGTAGGCGTGCGGGGGGGGGCTGTCTTCCCCCCCCACCCCCACCCCTAGGGTCAGTCACAGGGCAGGGTCAAGGGGATTGTCGCGGGCGGGTCCCTGGAGCCGTGAGCCTCGCGCGCTCCAGGGCTCCCGGGACCTGCGGGGGCAGCAGGGGAGGGACGCCCCTCTTCCAACTTTGCGAGCATGCGTGCCTGGTGATGGGCAGGGCTGAGATGCAGAAGATGCTGCAGACAGGGGCACTGGCAGTCGGTCCCCCGGCTGGGCAAGGGAGGCGGGCGGGCGCAGAGCCGGGTGCAAGTCTCTTTGTCCCCCCAGGGGACGTGCCCGGGCCAGGTAGAAGCGCCACCTGTCACTTAAGAAAGTTTCGTCCGCGCAGCGCACAGGCAGCGGCTCCACCCGCGGGGACAGCAACCGGCCCTGGCCGCGCGGAGCCGAGCGGCGGTGGCGGGTCGCCCGCAGCCTGGACGCTGCAGACGGAGCCCGCGGGCCGTTGGGGACAAGGGCCCGCCCGGCCGCCCGCGCTCTGCCGGCTCCGCCCCGAGCCCGCCGCGGGAAAGGTGGCGCGCAGGGCGGACGGCGGGACCCGGCGCGCACAAAGGTGACCCCGGCCACGCAGGGCTCCAGGAGCGGGTCCGCTGGTCCCCTGCTCCAAAGGCTGCACTTGGGGGCCCTCATTTTGCAGCCTCACCCGAGTCATGGACCACCGTAGCGAGCACAGTAGGCTACCGCGCATCCTGAAGTCTGCGGCTCCAGTGGCCTCCCGGGCTAGGGTGTCACTGCTTCCCACGGGGACAAAAGCTCGAGTCGCAGGCCGGGAACAGACCTGGCAGCTTGCTTCCCAGGACAGTCCCCCACACTGTGTCCAGCAAGGGAATTAGGTCCCTGCGCTGTGGCCAGGGAGCCCTTTCTCTCCAGAGTTTTAAGCTCAGGCAAAGCCAGGATTTCCGAAGTGGGGTATCTGGATTTCATTTTTCATTCAGATGGACTGTGACCTTGGCAACAGGCCATGGCTTCCTGAAAGGCTTTCTTGTGGCACCTGGGCACACTTCTTTTTTCTTTTCCAGGAGTAAACAGATCGGCTTGCATTCACCATGGGGAGAAATGTAGTTTACAGATGTTGGTCAAGGTTGTGGTTGGGAAAGTTTCTCAGTTCTCATCTGTCTGACCCGCCTATATTTAAAATCAGGACTTTGACTCCTTACAAAGGTTGACATACTTGGTGTTACTTTGAATATCTCTGGATGGCCTATAATTTATTCACCTGTTGAGTTGTAAGCATTCCAAGTATTTAGGTTTATTTTTATTAATCATTATTAGTGCTATAACTGAATGCTAGTGACTTATGCTTTGGGGGTAATAGTCCTTTTCAGTAAGATGGAATTTTATAGATCTTTAAAGGAGTTTGTAAGGAAATGATCTGTTCTGGAGGATTCAATTATAGTGAATCCTACAAATTGCACTGAGAGCAGCTGGGCATGGTGGCACATGCCTGTAGTCCCAGCACTTGGGAGGCAGAGGCAGGCGGATCTTTGTGAGTTCAAGGCCAGCCTGGTCTACATAGTGAGTTCCAGGACAGCTGGGGCTACAGGGAGACCCTGTCTCAAAAAGACCAAAAACAAAACAAAATAAAACAAAAAACCCCAAATTGCACTGAGAAAGACCAAGAGTGTGTGTGTGTGTGTGTGTGAGAGAGAGAGAGAGAGAGAGAGAGAGAGAGAGAGAGAGAGAGAAAGAGAGAACACTGTTTTTGAAAATGAGCCTCCCTGGAGATTGAAAATGAGCTTCCCTGGAGATTTTTGGCTGGGGACTGTGATCGTTTTTAACAAAAGAATTAAGATTTTGAGTTCTTTGCTTTAGGATTGATCAGTGAACATATTGACACTCAGACACTTACTGGGAGGGTTATTCAAAAACCCAAAGTATAAACAGAAACCTTTCTTCTATTAGAGTAACATATTTCCCTGTTTTATGGTATTTCTCCACTGTCAGTCAACTGGGGTGACTCAGAATCAGGGAAGGGAAGGACTGGGGCCAGCTCTTCTTCCACAGGTGCCTCAGGTGATTATGTCATCGAGCAGGTTGAGGCATCTGTGCTAGGTGATATCCATCCTGAGCCAAAGGTGACCAGTAATAGCCTGCTTTTCCTTGTTGAATGAGAGAATGCAGTTCACCTGTTTCCACAGTCTCCCAACCCTTTATCATTGGCTCCTGAGTGGTAAGAGACTCCCAAGCCCCAGACCTCATTTTTCCGGAGTATTAAAAATTCCCTGATAGCAAAGTCCAAAAGGCCCTTCAGAAACCCGAGCCAGCAGGAACTCTGGGCCCAGGCAAAAAACAACACTGGGTAGGTAGCTTCTGTTCCTCCTAATCTGGGGCTGTTTCTTAGGCTTTGATAGTTTGTTCTGTGTAGACTTACGGTGTCTGTGGTTGGGAAGAAGTATTTGTCCAAGATGTTGACTGTGAGCTCATAGCTCAGTGATAGCTGGAAGTATTTGTTTATCCTGTACAACATGTTTAGACAGCATTTGTACTGAGCGATTAAAAATACTAACTCACTTGGCAAGTCGAAAGCAAGTTTCTTTGATTGAGAGGTTCAATTGTATTACAGATCGTGATCATTTCTTCTCCACCCCCCGCCCCCAAATCTTGGGTATGTTTTTGCTAACTGTTCTGATTTCTTGGGTGCTGAGAAGAAACAGTAAGCAGAGTCAGGAATGGATGACAGGTAGCATCAGTTCTGTTTCTTCCTGCTAAGGAACTGCAGGCTGTGTCTATGAGGGGAAATTGCTAAGGTCTTTTTTCAGCTGGTACCAACAAAGGTCACAGCCCCAGCTGTGTCAGGCACAGAGGAGGAACTCCTGAGATTCAGAGGGTTTCCCCCCGACTTCATCAGCTGCTAAAAAAAATCTACTTGAGTGCCATTTTCTTGAAAGAAATTTCTCAATGGAAATTAGTTGATGTCCTCTCCAACCAGTTCATTTCTGATAGTCATTTCATGAAATTCAGTAGCCCAGCCACTGTCGGATGTCTGAAAACAAGCTTTGAATAGGGAAGCCCCGCCTTTTTCTGTGGGAGGGATACTGATTTGTGTGTCAGGGTCCTCTTGAGGGTGGTGACTACAGAGGACCCAGTAACTGTCATCGTACAACTTATCTCTGTCTTTATGAAATCCTATTGTCTCCACCTGGACTCAGTTCAGTCGCTGTCTTGTTTGCATCTCACGTAGGGCAATCATAATTTATAAAAATTACTCCTGTGAAGGAACAGGGCCCACAAATGCTCAGGAGAAAAGTTGCAGGTACCTCTGTTTAATTCTGAAGAATTTTCCTCCTTTATAATAACCTCACTGTATTTTGTTTGTTTACCAACATGTCCAAGGATTCTTATATGGAATGTTTTTCACTTTGGGATTTGTTTGAAATTTTTTTCTTGAAGATTGAAAAAACAAAAACAAGGCCTTTTTCTTCAGGATTCCAAGCAAATGTTCAGACCACTGAGTTGTGTTGTTTCGAGGCTGATTTTAATCAGAATAATAAGAAACTTTGTAGGGATTACAGCCATCCTAGGCTACGTGTCTGTTCTACACTAAGCACTGACGTAGACAGGCCAAAGGATTCGCCAGCCAGAAACAAGTTGATTAGACCCTCAAGGCCACGAACACTGACCTTCTGTGATATTCTACAACATCTCCTTGAAATATAATGCCAAGTCCATGTACATCAATAGCAAATTCCCTACTAAGCTCAGTCAAGTTTCTACCACTTTAGCAAATACTTATGTGTAAACACTTTGGGACTAAATATTGTATCAATTTCAGTGATTATATTCTTGGTTATGTAACACCTGAAGCATCAGGCAGTTATTCTACCTGGCTTAAGTTTAAAAGTGCAAAACAAATAATTTGGAGACTAAGTAAAAAATGATGCTATCCTGGCTCTCTCCTGGTGGCTGTTACTAAACACAGGTTGGCATTGTTAGGCTGGTAACTGACCGTCATCAGGTGCTGAAAACATCTGAGATTCTACCAAGTCCCCCAAAGACGTGTCAAGTTGTGTGGCATAGTCTTAACTTTCAGCATTTTCCTTTGAGGTAGTGAAAAACGTGTGTGCTGGATAGCTTTAGTGTCAACTTGACATATCTGGGTTGAGGGAGCATCAGTTGGGGAATTGCCTCCATTGGACTTGCCTGTGGCCATGTCTGTGGGGTATTTATTATCTTGTTTGTTGAGTGATATGGGAGGGCCCAGCCCACTGTGGGTGGTGCCACCCCTGGGCAGGTG